AATTTATATATATAAAAATTTACTTAAATCATTCGCATGCAATGCGAATCTATTTAAGGGTTTATATTTGCTATAAAGAATGCGATGTAATTTAATTACAAAAGAGATGATAATTTCTTAGAACCCGAGTGGGAACATTGAACCAGTCAAAGCAATGAAAGACAATTAATTGATCCTCTCAATATTTTAAAAAACAAAATTATAACATTTTCTATATGCATAGAATCCTTCTATCTTTAAGAGACAAGAATCCCAAAGATTTGCAAGATTTTTCTGTCCAAGACCGATATATATATATACACCTTTAAGATTATCCTAAAGTTTATCTTGAATCATGTTATACAAGACAAAAAAATTTTCAAGCGGCCCATTAACAGCAGAATAAACTAAACTGATCACGTTGCATGGTTCGCCCTGTATATATACAAGGTGTTTCTTAAATATCTAGTCATATTTAAGGGGACAATTCTTTGGTTTATTGCAAATAAAAAGTAATAAAAAAAAAGTTCATATAAACATGTGTCCTAAACGGCTTAGTTTCTGAAATATAGGGTGTTGAGGTTTTCAGGAAAATGTGAATGCCATATATGCTTTAGGATAGAGCAAGACAAATGGACCATGGTCAATTTCAAATAACATTATACTGGTTGAGCCATATTGTATAAAATAGCATAATAATTTAACATGAAAAAATATACTGATTTACGACAGTTGTTTACCAGTGATCCTTAGATTAGAAAAACCACGAAACTTTTCGTAACAGCTGAACCGTAGACACTAGTAAAATAGTAGTTTCTTGACTGATAATTCCTTTGGTCTTTCAAAGAGGACAGAAGCTTACAGGATTCAATTCCTACCGACCACAGTCCAAATATAGAGATGATCGATATTACCTGCTGACCAGTATTAACCCATGCTCCTATACAGGTTGTCCCAAAATCAGATCAACAAACTTCAGGTACTTACAAAGAACATCAAAATAAATAATTTTTGTCAATATATTCAAATTCGCAAATGAACCATTCTGGCACTATGGTGAATTATTTACAATAATTGTTCGAAGTGTTGGCAATTTACTTCAACAGATATCAGCAATTTTTTTTTCATCCCAGTTTTTGTTGCTATTTCTTGATAAAAAAACATGAATAAAAATTGCTTTATCAAACTGAAGATTATGGGGGATTTTTAAACAGGTAGAATTAATATTGTTTATTATTGATTTGCGAGCTCAATATCATAACATTTCTTTATTATTTATCCGAAATGTGTTTTCAAAATGGAAATTTTTCTTTTTGATGAAATAACCGATATGCATTTTATGTTATATGGAGGCTAGATGTAAATGGCCGATACTTTGAACAATTGTAAATAATTCACTTTAATATCAAAACGGCTCATTTGCGAATACGGGTTTATTGACAAAAATTACTTGTTTTGATGTCCTTTATTTATGTTAAGTTATCCTGAAGTTTGTCGGTCTAATTTTGTGACATCCCACGTGTTGCGGGCCTCGTGAGGCTCGCCGCAGCGAAAAGCTCCCCGAGCGCCGGGTTGTCGCGCAGTTGGTTTGCCGCGAGCGCGGGACAGTCTCGCGCGTGGATCTACGCAGTCGTGACTCGCGGCGTACGCCGCGGGACGGCGCATCGGCCGAACGATCCGCTCGCGAGCGAGTGCTTTCATGGCGCCTGTATAAGAGCGCTCAAAGCCCTGTTGTCTTTCATTGCACTTCAGTCGGCTAAGCGGTGATCCCACTTCTCACGCACGCAAAAGGAGGCTTTTTGAACTTTTATGACACATTTTTATGAATTAATTTATATTTGGTGGACAATTTGTAATCATCGTACTGAGAAAAGGATTTGGTGATAAACACTAAGATTTGGGGAATATTTGCCGATCAACTATTTGATTATTGCAACCAAACAATTTAGTTCCATATGTTAAATATACAATATACAGAATTATATTACTGTGTAAACAATATGCGGAACTAAATTATTTGGTTGCACTAACTAAAATATTTGGTCGACAAATATTCAACAAATTTTAGTATATATTACCAAATCCTTCTTTCAGTGCGCAATCATACCTATAACTATAGGGAAATGGATAATTTGTATTATACAAGTTATACAGGGTGTGGTATTGAGACGCCCGAATGTTCGATAAACAAATGAATTCGGTGCTTTTATCTTTAATTGATTAAAACTTCGCTTTAAATTCAAATATCTTTCTGTTATATATATATATATATATATATATATATAGTGAGTTTTGAAGCGCCAATCTTTAGGTCTAAAATGCTTTATATAGCGAAACTGACAGCATAACCTCTCAAAACAGTATCGAATATGATGGCTACCTACAAACAGCGTGTTCCCCCAAAGCTGAGTAAATCATATTTTCAGCCTCGGCAGCATTTTTTTTTTAATTAGAAAGTAAAAAGAATGCAATGTCTAATATGCTGCTTGTCGATGTCCAACGTATTCGATACGGTTTTGAGAGGTTATGTTGTCAGTTTCGCTAAGCTATATAGCACGTTTTAAATCTCAAAATTGGTGCTTCAAAATCCATTAAATGGCAAGGAGATATTTAAATTTAAAACGAAGTTATGATTGATTAAAGATAAAGGTATTGAATTAATTTGTACACCTAATATATTAAATTCAATTTTCTAATCGATCATATCACGGTCATCTTATTAGTGTATTCAAAGAAAGAAGAGCGAGATCGACATGCCCATATAATAAAAAATTAAATATTGAATTATTTTCTCGTTTTCCTTACGATTTCTCTTAATAAATCAATTTGAGAATTGTTTATATAATATTTGTTTCTTATTTATACAGAATGTTTCATTTTAATTGCCCCATGCTAATATCTCAGAAGGAAATCATCCTAGCCAAATATGTTTAATATAATATAATTATATGGTTTAAAAGGATATCGGATAATGACCTTGTTGTTTTCAGAGGTGACGTTGTTCAAAGTTATTTCAAGGTCAACTTTATTTTTTTAATTAGAATTGTGTAATTTTTTAACACAAATCGATTCTTTTATTTATTATACATATAAAAGTATTAGGGCAAGGTCATCTAAATACGAGTACTTTTCGACTTATTTTATCTTTTATTCTGATATTTTTTAGTACAAGATATGAAATATCTCATAAAGTATTCCTTTTTCGATATTATCATAATATTTTTATATGTAAAATGGCAAGTGGAATCGATCGCTGTAAGTAAACATAGAGAAACCTTTAAAAAAATTCATTGCCTTTTATAAATGCATTGGTGCACCAATGTGCAATGATTAATATCAATAATCGATTTCTCTCATATTATTATATAAAAAAATATTAAGGTAATGTTTAACATCAAAGGGTGAATATTTTATGAGATATTTCATATCTCGTATTAAAAAATATCAGAATAAAAAGTAACTCGTATAGTGAGCAGTGGAATCAACGTGTGTTAAAAAAAAAACTATATGATTCTATCCAAAAAAATAAAGTTGACCTTGAAATGATTTTTAAACACCACCTCCAATAAGACCAAGATCATCATCCGATATGCATAAACCATACAACCTTTGTATTAAACATTTTTCGCTAGGATGATTTCCTCCTGAGATATTAGCCTGGAACGATTAAAATGAAACACTTCTCGTATATTCAAGATATATTAGCATATTTAAAATGTTAAGATATTACAAATGTTAGAATTCTACATTTAATTTACTTATCGCATTCCGATAAATAAATTTGTATTTTGATTTTAGGTAGGGACGAATTGTCTCAGCCGAGTTCGTTAAATGGCTATGGGAGTAATTCCGGAGGTGGCGGGAACGGCGGCGGCAACGGCAACGGTAACTGCAATAGCAACAACAATGGCAGCAGCAACGGTGGCGGCAATGGCAGCAGCGGCAGCGGTGGTAATGGTAACGCCGGTGGTGGTGGTGGAAGTAGCAATAGTGAAGGATGCGACGCGAAGAAAAAAAAAGGACCTACACCGCGTCAACAAGAAGAACTGTGTCTCGTGTGCGGCGATCGTGCATCCGGTTATCATTACAACGCCCTCACTTGCGAGGGCTGCAAAGGCTTCTTCAGACGTAGCATAACAAGAAACGCCGTATACCAGTGCAAGTATGGTAACAACTGCGAAATCGACATGTACATGCGTCGCAAATGCCAGGAATGTAGGCTGAAGAAGTGCCTGACGGTCGGCATGAGGCCGGAATGCGTTGTGCCCGAGTACCAATGCGCGGTAAAGAGAAAGGAAAAGAAAGCACAAAAGGTAGATCGTATTTTAAGATATACTATGCTCTACGTGTACCACAACTATTATTTCTTTCTTTCAAATATTTATTTTCACATATAAATCTCAAATATGTATCTTTTATCATCAAATAGTGCTAAAGTTTCTTTAAAAAAAAAAATCGTAACAAAACGTTGCAAAAATATTTAACACATTGTGCATTCAAAGATGTTAGTGAGCCAAATTTTATCAATACAAGTGTTGCACAAATTGTAATCCATCGCAATTATAATATATGTGTTAAAAAAAAATATCATATTCATATAATAATATACTTAGAGCACGCACTCTCACGGCGCATGCATGCATACACGCACATCCTTCTCTCTATATACACGCGAGCGCACGCGTGTCCACACATATACACAAAATTGAAATATTGGGATATGATGCGGAATAAGTTTCAATCACACAGATTCCGTATAAGAGCTGGGCTAAAAGTAGCGCATATCTGTAGTACAAGGTACGTAGCGGTACTTACATTACATTTGTCAAATATATGACTTCGAAAATCAACATGTTACATATGGATACAATATAAAATTTTCTTTAATTTTATTTCTAATAAAAATTATAAAATTTCTGAAAATATTAGGGAGACATGGGGATAAATTGAAAAGTATCATCGAAAAATCTAAATACTTAATTGTAAAGAATATAAAATACTATACAATTTTTGCACAAACTATTTTTTCATACATTTCGTTTCATGGTATTGGAAATGAAATTTTCTCTTACTTTCGAGGAATTGCTTCCCTTTAAACATCAAGATAAATATATAAAAACATGCTAATATTTTTTGTTGAAACATATCCAAAGACCATCAAAATCGGAGAGGAATACTTCTGTCCTTTTCCTTATTATTATAATAGTTATTATTATTATTATTATAGTTATCGATTTTTCTTAGTTTGCACAGCACTGTGAAATATAAACATTCTTAGTGCATTTAAAATAATAACTGTTACCTTGTTACTTATGGATCTAGCCTAGCTATTAATTGATTATCGAGTAATAAACCTCTATTCAAAAAATAAGTTTTCCCTCATATTCAAAATATATTTGTATTATATTCGCAATATACTTAACCCCCCCCCCCCTCCTTCTCCATCTTCTGCAGCGCACAATTTGAAAATTTCTTAGCATATTAAATAACTGCTTCAATTTTGATATAACAAAATAGAGTCGGAGAAAAATAAATAAATAAATATAATGAAAAAAATGTTTTGTTAAACTAGGTACATAAAATAATTGAAAATAATTTTCTGTAAGTTTTATATTTTTTAAAGATGTTAAGGTTACAATTTTTTAATATAGAACATTGTTATTTTTTCAATTTTGAGTAACAAGCACACATCAGCTTGATGTTTAATATTGATTTCATACTGACCACTACTGATGATCAGTTATCAATAATATTTTCTAGACCTTCTTATACCGTCATAAAAATGACGGTATAATATAGCAAAAGGTTTACGCCACAAAAGTTACCATACTTTGGTAAGTCCATGAGTTATAGCATCGTTTTTCTTTGTGTATAACACCTGAAAAATATGTCGAAATGTGGTACCTTTGGTGATTTCAACTTTTCGTAATATTGCCTGCCATTTTTGCGTCCTGAAGACATCAGTTAGTGTTATCAATAGTGGTCTATAAAAAACCAAAATCTAACGTTTAAATTATATATGCTTGATATCTGGGCGGCTGCTTAAATTTGAGAATTAAATAGACACTGATGATGATGACAAGCTCTGACAAACTTAATATATTCATGCTTATAATGTATCCTTGTATCGTTTAAAAAATATTGTAATACCATATTTAAGCAAACAAAGGGAAATAAGGGTCGATAACTTATTACATCAAATTGATTATAATACGATGAATCATAAAATCGTATAGCAAAACATCAAATAAATTGTGTTCAAAGACAATTATTAACTATGAAGAGAAAAAAAATTAACTTTAGATTTTTAAGTCGACTTGAAAATAAATTACATAAATTGAATACTGAGAGTTACTAAGAAATTCGTAGTGATTTGGCAATATTTCAATAATTATTTGACACGTGCTTAATCATTGGTTATGATAAATGCTGCAGGAATAAATTATTGTGATTATAGAATACTATTTGCAATAAAATTATGCTGAAATAAACAAGATTAAACAAACTAATGTTAGATAATTTTGTTTAACTCGGGAATAGTTATCTGCGATAATTTCAGATCCCAGCGGTAAGAAAATAAAGATCATGTTTCGCAGTGGGTTTTATTTATTGATCGGGAACTCATACCTATTTATCTTTCATTTGGACATTAAAGATCTAACCTGTGCAACAAAAACTGGCTGGTGACCCGTCTTATTCATAGCATAAGCATGTGAAGACTCGTTGGAATATGAAACGATCCCAGCTAGTCATTTACATTACATTTACAAAATTAGTCAAGCATGATAAGAGTTCGCATTATGAATACAAGATATTAATAAGTTTGAATGAGGTTATACATATTCATACCCAATAAGCACCAGTAGGCGATATTTACATTACATCTGATACTAACTGATAGAAATATCCAGAAAAATAGATAGAGGTGCAATTATTAAATATTAATATTTATTGTATATAACTAACATATACAGTTATTAACATTTATTGTAAGTGAAATGAATATGTTAAATTCTTTTCATTGGAAAATATTTTTTTTGTTTTATATTTACACAGTGTGTTTCAAAAATGGAGATCAATTGCTCGGAAGATAATTGGAGACTTAAAAACAAGAAAAATAATTGGTATGAATATAAGTTTGGATATGCGTTGTTTTTTGGAGTTATTTTATGTTAAAATTTCGAATTGCTTTGCTTTCGTATTTTTTTGTCAAAATTGAAAGAAAAAGCGGTCTTTCTGAGTTTTACAACATAATTGAAATCAAATAAAAGTTGCGAGTTGCTTTAGCACTACCCAGGATACACCACATGGAAATACAGCCCATGGAAGTTAGCATCTCTTGGCAGAGATCGGGATCTCAGGTGATCGTTTACGTAAAAAGAAAATAAGGTTACTACTCCCGGGTTAAATAAAAAAAAACTTGCTTTTTCATTCATTGTATCATTACACCTTTTCATTTCATATATGTGTTCTTCCATAATTTCGATCCTTATCCGAATCATCTATCCTTTTCTTCGCCGCGGTCATCATTGCTTCACTTCAATAATCGAACAGAAACGTCCTCAGATAAAATGTACAGATAAATGGGATATATAAGAAATATCGTATATTTACAAATTTCAATATTAATCACTGCTGCTAGCTAATAATAAATGATATGGAATATTATTGAATTATTCTGAAATACTAGCAACCCTGCGATTTAAGTACTTAAAATTATTAGCTAATAGTAATAAAAATACTGTGTATATGTAACAGTAATTTATTACTGATCAATTAGTAATATTTTCCTGTAAAAATATTTAATAATCGTGACCTTAAACATTGGAAACTTGTGATTCTTTACAGAAAATTGGCTGGTCAGTAAAAAAAATTACTGTATTTCATAATTTTATTACTAGCACTTAATAATTTTGAATACTTAAATTACAGAAATACTATATGATAATGTGAAGTTACAGAGATAATGTGAAGTAATTTGTTTTCTATTTGTGCGTTAGCTATACTACCTTGTATTAGTTCTCTTTTCATCTCTTTCTTGAGATTTGATAAGAAAGAGAGAAAAGAGTACTGGTGCAAGTTAGTGCAGCCAGTGCAGGAACAGAAAATACTCTTGATTAAATATCTGTTCGTCAAAAATGTAGAAATTAATCAATTATTTTCGATAGTTTTTAGAAAAAAATCGATATTTTTGATCATTGATTATTTAATGGATGATGCTTTTTTAAACAATGCCCTAATGCTTTCCCTAATAAACAAGATTGATCAGATTCAGACCGGTACAAGCATTTTTTTCAACTAATTCTGTCAACTAGACACTTTATATATTCACAGTAAGTTAGAAAATATTTAAAAATAAATTAAATATATCGCAAAATATGTAAAATACTTGAAATATAAAATACATTACAATCTTTATTTTGGCGAAAATCTTAAAACTCATCTGTTGGACACTCAATACATTAAGAAAGTGTAGTAAAATGTAATAATATAAACACATAATAATATATAAAATAAATATATAAAAATAATATATAAAAAGGAGATAAAAAGAGAAAAACTTTGAAAAAATGATTATTAAATGATCATGAAAGAAAAAAGGGTTATTGTTTTAATGTCCCCTTTTAATAAAAAAATAATTAAAAATTATTATTATCACCACAAATACCTTGTGAAAAAATAATAAAATAAAATGAAGAATTGAGAAAAAGTAAAGTTAATAAGTTAACAAAGTAGGTTGGATTCGACCGCGAGAGCGCGTTGGGTGGGGGAATTATACTGGACAAGATAGTGCACACACACCATACACAGAGTTCTACTTATATAGAATGTCCCAGATCAACCTTATCAAAGCTCATGGGAGTACCTGTCGACGCGAGCCTAGGAGCGGTATATAAGCGAGACATAAGAGCGATGGTGTAAGCATAGCAATGGCGCGTTGTCGTTCCCCTCACCGCGCTCCGCAACTATTGCTAGAGAGAGTGAACCGTACTGTAAGCTCCAGCGGCTCAAACGCTTCTCCCTTACCAGCTTGGCGCGCAATTTTTATATCTCCATAATTATTGCGAATATCGCAACATGATATAGGACTTTTATGTTTACCTCAATCCGTTCTATATATATATATATATTCTTCCATGAGCTTTAGTAAGGCTACTCTGGGACATCCTGTATACATATATATATCTCTCAATTTAGAGTTTAACTATCTGCTAGTCCAAAGCTACGAAAGACAGCGACACGGCAAAATACAGATCCCGCGGTGGAACACGGCAAGCCACGACTCGCAAATGTCATGATCGCGTATACGGTC